TTTTGAAATTCGAACTTGATGGTGCACCTAACTTTTTCTTTCGATGAAAAAAAACATAATGACTCATTCAACTACGCGATTTGTTGCACATTATTTTATGTAATACAAATCCGTCGGTATATTTAATTGACAACGATAACTAATTTTGTTTATTAAATATATATATGTATGAATGAATATAGCTCAACTCAGGCTGGCGCAAAGTCGAAGCGTCGCGTCGCGTCCTGTTTTGCAACTACAACGCTTGGCGACGCGCCGACGCGCGTCGACACACAAAAAATACAGTTGAATTGAAAACCTCCTCCTTTTTGAAGTCGGTTAAAATTATTCGTGAAATACTACGTAAATACGCTATTCAGATCCAAAAAATAGTTTCAGTTCCTAAAATTATGTTGAAATCACGAAAGCCCTAGAACTTTATAACAATACAAATTGGACAATCACAAATAAAATAAAATAAAAAATGAAAATAAAAAAATTAAAGTAAAAATAATTTATTTCGGGCGACAACGACCCATATCTAAACTACAATATGCATATTTGTTAACTGTATTTATAAATGAAAACACGTATGGAAGTAAAAATCGCAACCATTAATTAAATGGAAAAAAGAGATGTAAAAATATACCACAACAAAATTTTATTAAATCATATTATACCCAAATTACTTACACTCAGGCGACTTTCTATCTGTAACGATGAAAATAAGAATAATTTGTAATAACATGTCTCACGCAAATTACCCCGAATTAAGTTTACAAAAACAAAAGCGAATCTGGATGAAAAGCTAACAAACTCAGATTTTCTACGGGACGTAATTTTACGCAGGTAACAATGATATTATAAAAGAAATACTGTGCAACAAGAAATAATTACACTTTCTCCGCATAATGGATGCCTCGGGCCATTATGTATCTCTGCGAATATATTGTATATATACATATACAGGTAGGTTGTGGATTATACAGATACAGAGATAGGGTTATGAGAAATGAATAGACAACAAATATAAAATGAATTGCTTACATTGTAATAAACTATGTGACCTGCACGATTTGGATAGCTGTGTGATATTATACACCTGTACTACATATAGATACAATCACGCATTTCTCTCGACGACCCGGTGGCTTAGAGGTTACATTGCGTGCTTGATGAAGACGTCTCGTATTCGATACTCGTCAGGACCACTTTACAAGTCGGACTTTTTATAATCGATTTTGATCGTTTTATCTAAGCGAGAAAAATCTTATTTTTTATCGTATCGATGGCATACATTACAATGCTTATCGTCATGATGCACCGTGTTTTTTTCATCGTGTCGGTGGCATATATTATAACCCTAATCATCGTGATGCACCCCTACGAAAGGTAAAAACCCACAAGTATGAAATAAAGTTAAATGTTATGTTATGTGTGATCCATGAACGATGTGGTTCGAAAGAGGATGTTGTGATAAAAATAGTAAGTTACCGTGGCAGGCAACATTCGAATAAAATTATCATATTTGAAAGATTGATGCAGTGAAGCAAAAAAGGTTTATCCAGAACGTACTAAGTGACGATTGATACTATCTACCATCCCCAATGGGAATCTAAGAACATGATTTAAGAGTACAAGTTCTTAATACTACTCTGGAGTAGAATTTCGTTCCTCTGGTGTAGTACAGGAAGTTTCCATGTCTAAATATATCTATTATCGTTCAATATTACGAAGTAATATATAATATTGTTTATAACTAAGAATACTATAATTGTACCAACTGTAGTGAATAAATACGTAAATACATTTCACGCCCTTTTCCCATCGCGGTAGCCAGTGACCACAGCCTTCCACTTGCTACGTTCCTGCCTCGCTTCAATGCGTTCATACATACTCGTCGGCTAAGGATACTCGTGATCTGATCTTTCTTTAGTTCGTCTCCATTTGGCCGAAGTCCTCCTTGGTCGGCTCTTGACAACTTACCCACTCACGCTCGCCATAAAAATCCAATTTCATTCATCTTATAAAATTAACAATGGTAATATAAACATACTTAATAAATCTCCGTGATACGTTACGGGAAGGTAGAGATGATTGATAAATGAATCTTTATAAATTGAAGCAAGGATAGCTGGAGGTACAGATCTACTTCTGCATAACACAATTTTTATTATCAGATAATCAATCGACTCCGAAATCTATAAATATAATTCCTTTACAGTTCCAAAAAATCTTCAAAGAATTCACAAGATTTTTCAAATCTCATACGATTGAATGGAAGGAACCGCCGCTCGTTAGACACGGACCACGAGCTCCAATGTCGATCCCAATGCCGCTTATTGTTGCGCTTGCGCCTCGGAAGGAAGCGAAAACCTTTGTGAGACGCAACCCATGCTATGTATGATGTGGGAAACAATGATACTTGTTTTCTGATTGATGTAACCAATAATGTGGGTGTGTTTTGTATACTTACAGTAGCAATAACGTACGTGGTGTAGAAGGAGTTTGGAACAGTCTTTAAAAACCATTATATGGAAATCGACTAAAGGCGCATATGGCTTGTGAACTTTATGTCCCGGGGTGACGGGTGCACTAGCAGTGTCCTTCAGGTCTTTGCGATCTAAAAGTATTACAACAAGTATCGAAGGCGCGTCGCTTACCACCTGGCGCACGACTTGTTCATCCAGTCGTTTAATATAATATAATATTAATAATAATAAAAGCATACAAAAGAAAGAAACGCGTAGGAAGATCTTTACAAATGTCAAAAAAATATTAAATTTGACTCATAAATTTCTAAAGTTTATTCTCTTTAGATTGCATTAATTTGAAATATGAAGTTTATCTCACGTTAATTCCAAAAATTGAAATATCATTAGACCACTCATTTTGAATTGAAACTGAAACTCAAGGTGCAAATGAAGTTACAAATCATTCTCTATTACCTTCTAACTTCACATGTACTAACTCTTCGAGCTTCTATTTTGACTGATCGACTATCATTATAACTGAATGGGCAACTGATGAAGAGCTTGACGATACACAAACGATGGTAGACGGTATAAGCAATATAGATGACATAGTCAATACCAATGGTAATAATAGCAAAGCTTTCACTACTATTGTTTTGGTTTCATAATACTAAGTTACGTTAGTTTAATCTGTAGTAGAAAGTCTGACAATTGGGTCTAAGATGATTGTTAATCGCGAGAGATAATTTCTATAGTTTAGCTATCTTTAGATTTGTTTGCGATTATTGAAGACTGTGTTGGTTACTGTACGATTAAGGTATATACGTAACGTCAATTGCGTTTCTTTGCGTTATTGAGATGGATTGATTATTTGGAAAATAATTTCTATCCATGTATAAATCTACCTACTTAATGTTAAACCAGAGACGCTAGCGCCTTTACATTTTTTCTAGTAGCTATAGTGTTTTATTGTCTAGTCTATTATTGTGTAGAATTTTCAATTGTCATTTAAATTACAGACAATTGCTATTTCAGCAGTTTCTCATATCGTTGTTTCTTTAATTTATTAATTATTTTATTCACATTTTTAACACAAACACAAAGGTTTAATTAAAGCCATTGTTTTCTTTTTAAATTTAGGATACATTTGTTATAGAAGACTCGTACATACATATATTATGTTTTCATATGTTACGCTCACTTATATTTATAAAATCTTAAAGCCTTATCGTACTTCATTAATCCACATCAATCCTTTTATCACCTAATACCGTCATCACTGCTACTAAAATCTCAGTCAGCCTCCTGATCTAGTAATCTGTCAGGAATTTGATTGGTTCAATAAAATATTCATGAATGTATCAAAGTGTCAATCACGTCAATCCAAGGCAAAAGGGAGTCAAGGCCGTCAAAGTGTTGCAGTTTTGAATATCTGGCATTTAGGGCTATGATGTCAGTCTTTGGTATTTGGTATGGCAATTGTGATATCATGACCGAACATTTTGTAATATATCTTTTTGTTAATGAAATACAGCTTTTTATGGTGTTTAATAATGCAGATTGCAACACAACGAATAGTTCCATATTTCACCAATACATGCCATAAATGACTAGTTAGAGTGCGTTATCGAGTTATTACCTTTCGGTAAACATATAACGTTAGACAGTGAATGTCAAACCGACATCATCGGTAAGGTTTACCAGTAATACGGTCGGATAAAATCAGGGTAGGTGCCTTACTATTTCAAAGTCCTAATTTTAAAAATGTTAGTTTACCATGAACAATTCAGTTATATACATATTTAAATTGAAACTTACTACCTACTTCACTTCGTATTTTTGTGGCTATCTAAACATTCTATCTTCTATTAATCTCGAACTGTGTATAATTTGTCTTGTTGGCACATTTACTTGTTTTTAAACTATTATTATTTACTTCTTCACTAAAATAATGTTTTTTTTTTCCTAACTTCCTTGTCTTGTCCTTTACCCCTAAGAGTACCTATACCGCGAAAAATAGAGGCGACCATCCTTTTTGATATGGATAGATGCCCTTTTATTATGTAACTAATTAACTAATTAACGATTATTTACACCTAGGCGAGCTGTTAATGAACCAGTGTATTTTTATAATAAAAATAAACTGAATTTATTATAACTTACAAAGTAATGCGACAGTAAATACTTGCGTCTGAAATTTTGAGCCATCATTTAATTTCATTTCATTCTTTGTTGCGATTTTGGGAAGTCAGATTTTTTGAAAACGAAGCACTTATCCCACTGTGGCATCTATCCCGATTTCATCCTACTGCTGCCAAACCTTTAAGAAGAGAAGTACAGTTAAATCCTGGCTATAAATACGACTTCCTATTGTTTTGATTGGGTGACATAAAAGATTACTGCTCTGAAAGCCCATTGTAGTGCCACTACGGATTCACGCGTACTCTTCTGATGTAATAAAGATCGCATATTCCACCTTTCCTTTCCCACAATGTATCATCACTACATATAATCAAATAAACTAATAATGTTGTCTCTTTGTTGCAGCCTAGGCCCATTCGAGGCGGCGACGGGGGGCGAGATGGTGTCACGGCGGCGTATACTATCGCGGTCGCGCGATGACCTTACTCAGGCATTCGCCACACAGGTGGAGGAAGAAGAAGATGTGTGGTATCAGAAGGATAAACTTTATAAGGTGAGTGTAGAGCATACGCGATCTCTAATTTAGAGTTGCCTAGGTATATTACAGCAGAGGTGTTACAAGTGTTAATATAAACAGTGACATTAATCATAACAATAAGTCAAATATACTTGAGAGATAGTACAGGGCATTGTAACGACTGTAAATAATGAAGATAGAAACATAGCGTCTGGTGTAGTGGTAACTGCGAATACTCTCTTCCATAAACAGAGAAATTATATTAATAATACTCGACGCGAATATGCGAGTAATTCTAAGTTAAGATCTGTTACTAGCACGAGTGAGTCTCGAAAGGTCATCATAATTTTTGTTACTAAGAGCTCGTTCTTTGTCGCACATAAAAATTATTTTAATTTGTATGTGTACCACAAACCACTGATCTTAGTATTTCACTCAAGTTTCTACATATTATAACTAAAAACATTTCTAGTTGCGACAAAGAGAGCAAGCTCTCAGCTACAAAGATAAATGACCGTTCAGAATAAGGTAGTAACGTATTCGCAACATAATTTACTTACAATGATGTTAAGATTCACAACACGTTAAAATTTTGAAATTTTAAGTGTCACATGTTGATAGTATCTTGTATTTATTTATTTATTCTATGAGGTATTTCATGATATGGATCCGCGCATGCCTTATATAGAAGTCTTGATTGCGCTTGTAGGGATGTTAAATGGTTAACATTAATTTTGACAAACATTGCAGTAGTATATTTCTGCCTGACAAAATAACTATGCTAAACTCATTAACCCTGAATAAAACTAAGCAATATTGCTTGTTTGTACTTTTAATACTTTAAATTAAAAATCATTACTATACCTATTGAAGACACGCTACTAAACCTAAAACAATAGTTTTTAGAACATTTATTTCTTTGTGTATGCGTTTGTGGACACTTATCCCCACAATGGCTAAATTAATTTGGACGTAATTTATAATGGTGTATTAAAATAAGCTTGGATTAACATTCAGTTGTTTCTATTTGATTTGTTTGATTAATTAAGAAATGATATGTCAATTTTAATGTGGCTTGCGCACGTTCGACGTAACGCGTGGAGAATTGGGACCGAATTGAATGCAGTATTAATCGCCAGTAGATTTACTACATATGCCTAGCTTTTATATTAAAGCCATATTAACAGTTTTAAGGATAAAAATAATAAAAAAATATTCCTTTAAATGTACTTATTAAAAATATAACCACCCAACTGAATGTCTTTGCTGTTTACGCATATCATCACACGCGTTAATTTGTAAATAAAACTGGTATCAACTTTAACGCTCAAGTTCATCCCTTTAACTACACGTCCAATAGTAATGGAAGTCAATAAAGTTTTCCAATAACTCAATTCTCTTTAAACTTTATACTGAGTAAATTGTACAAAATTAACGCAATGAATAAGGCAATAAAATCATAAGCCCCGAATAGACTTTCTAACCATCAATCACAAGTTCGCCGAGGCATATACCATGGCTCACTTCACTCCGATGTAATGGGAAGTAAATGATAGATCATAGAGAAACCATTCAGCCCATTACGTCAACTTACAAAAGAGAAATTGGGTAACATGGTCTTTTCACAAAATTATCGGCTGAGGTTAATAGTGAAAAGTGTATTAAGAATGACAACGATAAAGAGAGCAGAGAGTTTACCATAAGTTTGCCATGTCAATCGTCACTTGTTACCACGCTCTTGTTGTGACCGCAGAGACTCTTACCATATAAAATTGCTAACACTTTTACGTGTTCGTCAATGATAACCGAAACTCCAAAGTCATGCTAGAATTACAGAATACACGTCGGTAATTTCACTTTAAACCACACTCTTTTAACACGTAAAACACAATGAATATTCCTTTTATTAATGATCATATTACTACTGTCTGTACCAAGTACCGTACTGTTTATACTTACAAACACGATGACTCAGTAAATTTTACAACCAGTAGCCACTGAGTCTTTCAAATTCAAGTGTTATTACTGACACGATTTCGTCACCAGTCTCCACTAGTTGTTTAGTGCCGTTCTGTCCCTCTCTGTGCCGTTCGCAAGTGTGAAGAGTAATCTTAAATCTCACCGAGATCTTATCGACCTATTATGTCATCAATTCAACAGTGGCTTGACCTGTTCCTTTACGAATGTGTAATTTCATTTTTACTAACTCAATTTACAACGATACCACAAAGTCTCCCATAGCTGTTCCGTGTATTACGTTTTCTTTTCCTTTGTCTATGGTTACGTTTTTGTAACCGTTTCCGACTGCTTACAAGTTATTAGGGACGTGAGAACAACTCTGTATGGTACACAGTGGCTGCCGATTACCAAGTTACATTTGTCTTTAGTGTCTGTAGTGATAGCGTTGTTTGTTTGGTTATCCATTGCTACCTTTCTTTCAATAAGCGTTATAATAGTTATAACATTTCTGTCATCTGATATAGGTCTTTAATGTAAATGTATTACAAATTTAGCCAAGTTCTCACTTTATTAGCTGTTATTGTCTTATTTAGTAGGAAAAGGACATATCATCAGCCGTAGAAAGTGAGGGTCAAATTCAATAATCGCAGATGAACTACATATCAATTTAGTATGTTATTTAATTTTAAGTTCTGTAAAACTTTATTCAAAATTTAATTTGAATAAATTTCTTACCACCAATTTGGCCTTTGATAAGATTATTACATTTGCGAAACTTGATAGAAACAATTTTTAGTCACTACACCTTTATTAAAAAAAAATATTAAAATTTCGTCTTCTTTGAAATTCGTCAAGTGATCATGACTTTTTTGCCCCGCACGCGGAGGTTAAAGTGTTAGCCCGTTAGCATAATCGATGGAACGAATCAACAATGGTCATCTTCATGATGGATATCGCAGTTCCGTTGTATTACGTGTATTGTGACAACTTCATAGTAGTTTGTGGGTTGCATTTTTTGTAAATGAACTGGCGGAAAATTATGTTTTGAAAAAATGTTACGTACACGACGTAGACACTAAATATCTGCATTTACAATTCAGACAATTGGGTATTCTTTGTGATGTCTAAAAATTATGTGTTTGGGGTATAATAAGGTATATATGTTTTTTTTTTTCAAACAAACCTACGTTTCGGGCCCTTTACAAGTCACGACTGACTGAACTTCACAACCGAACGACACGTTTGTTTTATTTGAAAAAAAAAAGAAAAAAACAAATATACACGATTTAAATAACTTTTTTGTGATTTAAATTATAATCGTAGTTCCATTTCCATTGTGTGAAATCGCAAATTTGAACTAAAAGAATTATATAAATAATAAAATGTTAACTTAATATGCGCATTCAGTAATCAGAATTATCGTTATGTACCTATATATTATAATCTCTTATTGATCTACTGTAAGCGGTGAACATAACTTGGTTTTTATGCAAGTGATTGCAAGCAACAATAATAAATTATTTACCAAAACAAAGCCCACTTATCCAGGTCCTTAACCGTAATAAATATAACCAATCGATTTCAAAACGATTTCTTCTAAAAGGCAAAATTATTCTCCGTGAGTTACCATCAGTCAACGGGTCAATTCTGAACGTGACCGTTCAATAACAATTGCGTCAATAATAAAGCCCATGAAGCCTACAGCATTTACCATTTTGATGACTATAAAGGGCAATATTTTAACAATATGCCTCATATAAATTCTTTAGCGGTTTTATGGAAACGAGTTGTATCACCATTTACCTTGATATCAGCTCAATTAAGTATTTCCATAATTATTATTGAAGAAGTCTTGATCATTAACCCAAAAAACTTTGCTCTTTACGTTTTTTTTATGATAACACGTGACGGGACGAACAAGTCATGCGTCTGGTAGTAGGCGACACGCCTATCCATAACAGTTGCAGTGTCACTGAGAATGATTTTCGTGCAATCCTCCTTCTTTAACATTATGATAGTGGTCTACCAAACATAGATACTAGATGTTTTGGTCACGTTCAAATTTACAAAAAGACATTTGTCTATAGGCTTCACGAAATCATTATTCACGATCCGTTTGACATTTTGATCTCTACAATACACCTCGGGGCTCAAAAAGTTACATGACAATTGACAGCAATATCAACAGTTCAATAAAGGAGTTTATCCTCCGGCAATAAAATCCCTTTATTTGCAAAACGTCTAGTTAACGTCAGTGCTATAGCAACCGTATCATTTAGTTATTCAATTTTGAAATTCATAGCCAGGCTTAGCTCGGACAAGAATTGTCCTTTAACAACGTGTTTTTTGTAATTATCAATTGACGATAGGCACAAGTCTATGGCCTGGTGGTATGCATCACGTCTATCCATAGCAGTTGCAGTGCCACTGAGAGTTTTAAATCGCAAACACAAATCGCAAACGTGACATAAAGTTGACAAATCCCACGTGCCTGTCTTTTATTAGTACCCTTACCGTTGAAAATCGGAAAACAACAATACTTCTTGGCGGCAATAATAAATATAGTTGTGGTACTTCCCTGGACAAACTCTTTCACAAGGTGTTTTAACTGCGACACAACTACGTTCTATATTCTACAATAAATCACCGTAAATTTTATTAAAGTACAGTAAAGTGGAAGGCAGTCTTTCTTTAAAATCCTTAATCAATCTTTTGGAAGAATACTATACAACTCTGTCCTGCTGAAGTCAAAATTACCTTCTTAGTAGGATGTGAGTAGGGGTTGTTTAATCAGAATCAACATCGATATACTTTGACCGTTTGTCAGCCGCAGGGTGAACCAATCGAGTTCGTGACCATCCAATAACAATAGAGTTACAGCATCGCGACTGGGTCACAAAACATCTGGGCGCTTACTTGACCTTACTGTGTACAATGTCGGTGAAATGATATTGGAACTAGATTGTTACGTCGTTTGAATGATCTTAATGAAAAGGATAGACAATACAAGGAAATTAATGACTTTTAAAGCTTGCAGTAGTAAAGGTCAGAAAATTCTTCATTCAGTTGCACAAAAG